TTGGCTAGTTTGCCTCTGTGGCTGCCCAGTAGGTGTTCTCAATTGTACAAAGGACACTTAGGACTTGTGGATTCTTCAGCAGAACTCTTAAAAAGAGACTGAGTCCATTTTTCTCTTACTCCCTAAAGAAAGGTTGATCTCATCCTCAGGGTGACACCAGGCCAGGGCAGGGATGTGATGGAAAGAAAGGCTACATTCACTCTAGTTCAATGACACCTGTTAAGGCAGAGTTAGGAGTCTTGGTGTCTTTAGGGGGCTGGGGGGCAGCCAAGGGAGAAATAACTAGAAGACCACTGCTTTTGGTCCCTCCCCTGACTGTTCTAATTGATGGTGGGGATGCTACTTCATCAAGTGACCCTTTCCTTTCTACTTTAAAAACTATTCTTTCTGAGAAATTTGATTTTTAAAATGGGCAAATCTACAGTTTGGTGGGGAGCGTGGAGTGTGTGTGTGTGTGGGGGTGGTGGTGGTGTTGGTTTCCTTTGGAGGGAAAATTGATTCTAAAAAGGAAGGGACATGCCTGGTGTTCAGAATTTCAAATCTAGTCAGTTAGCTTAGCTTATCTAAAGTAAAATTATTTTTGCTTAATGTCAACCTTCAGGCATAAAAGTTAAAGGTAGGTTTTCAAATCATGCACTGACTCTTGCTTAATGGCAAAATGAAAATCAGCCCTGAGCTAAAGTACGGGTTACACACACACACACACACACACACACACACACACACACACACACACATTATGAGACCTTAACCACAATTTTAAACAACCTCACACTACATAAAGACAACTGCATTTTATTATTGCTATTATTATTAGAAACCTAACTAAGGAGAAAAACTCTAGAATCTACTAACAAAGACCACTTAGGGATTAAAAAAAAGAAAAGACTTCAGAAAAAAAAAAAAGGAGAAAGAAAGAAAGCTCAACGAACAAACTGACTGCAGTGTTGTAGTGCTGGCAGATGAGTTAAAGCAAATGTGGAAATTAAATATCACCATAGCAATGACAGGTATCCCAGAAATGACAAGCTCACATTTCATTGTACACTCAATGGACATTTATAACCAGGGATCTGTCAGGGTCTGGCTATAATTCAGAAAGCAGCAGACTGTTAGACACCTGACATTTGACAAGGGATTTCAAGAGCACACAGTACATTATAACAATCATGCTTCACATTAGATAATTGCTATGCCTGTTCTTATGATTGTGGTTTTGGTAAGCATTCTCTTATATGAATGAGAAACTTTAGGTCCTTCATTTACCTCGCCATATTTGAGCAAAATCTCTGTTACTTCATCCTTGAGTTTTTGGCTATGTGCTTATGGAATGGGATCCTATCATGTTTTTATTGCCCAGAACTGTTTCAAAAAACAAATGTGACTAGATAGAAGGCTTTAAAAAATATAAAATATAGTAATAATGTGTTATCATTATTATCACTACTCACTAACAAAATTGAGAGCAGTGAGATTTACCCTTCCAAGTCAGGAGGGGACAATGTCAATTCTCTTTTTGTAATACCATTTTTTTAGTGATAGATAATATGGACCAATTTTTTAAAATTAATCTATCCACATGGAAAAATATTTTTGAGAGAAATCTAGAGGAAATTGTATTTTTAAAATAAATACTACTGGGAGATAAAGACGAGAAGTAATAAAGGACTTCTTAACTCTAAAACTTTGTTGGGTCTGATAAGCCACGCCCTCCCCACTGCACCAAACAGTTCAGTGGAGGCATTCTAAACAGAAAAATGGCTGCATTTAAATTAAAGGGGGGGGGGGAAGCGCTTCTACAAGATGGGATGCAATACATTACTGTTGCACTTGGTGGCATAAATAAATTATTGTACAATCAATTGTGATTCACTGTATAAATAAAGTGTCATAGCAGAGTGGCCATTATTATACATGGCATTTGTATGCACAGTTTTAATAAATACAGCAGATACTAAGAAATTCTGATCTAATATCTTCCTTCAATTCTTAAATGAGGCTTCAAAAATTTTTTAAAAGCCTGTGCCCACCAAAATTACTTAAAAGGCCAACAGAAACATGTAAATAGCCTGGGATCAAATAGTGTTAAGTAAAAAAGCTTCAACTCTTTAATATTCTAGAATTTTCATCATGTTTTTGATAGCTATCTATCATCTACCTACCTACCTATAGACCTTAAGATACTCAGGAATGTAATTAAGATGTTTGGGCAATAAAAACAGAGTATACACACAAAAAACACACACTTTCAAAGCAACAGATGAATCTGTAGGTCACAAATTTGAAGCCATATCAAAGGATGGGCACTTGATTTACATTTTCAGTGTTAAGAGTGTATGGATGGAGTCTTATTTTACATGTTAGGACTAGAACATTAGTAAGTTTTATCCTAAATATGGCTGTGTAAGTCTTTATCTTCTGCTTCCCTAATCAATAACTTAGGCCCAGGTGGGACCCTCATTTGTCACTTTTTTGGCAAAATGAACCCAGCCTGATAGGAAAGTAGCCAGGAAGCAGGTGACACTGGCCTTCTTAGTTCAGGCTTGTGCTAGACATGGCCCGAGGTTTTCCAGACAGTTTCGTGGAGAAGGCTGCATCCAAATGTGCCTGACTACTAACAACCAGGGAGCAAAGACAGGACAGTGGCATCCTAACAACCCCCCTCCCCCCAGGACAAATCAAAGGGAGGTGAGCTAAATTTCTAATATTCTTAAGACCTAGCCCCAGACATGAAGTCTGCTGTAAGATGGAAGTTTACATAATCCATTCATGAGCCCTCATTCCCCCTCCCACTGACCCCAAGGCAGGGGGAGTACAGAAAACTCAAGTCCTAGAGCTAAAAAAGAGACCTCGGTGGAACTTTATTAGGAAAGCTCAATTTCTCAAGTGAGGCAACCCAGACCCCAGCATGCAAGGGATGCTATCAATTAGGGGCCAGGTATATACATCACTTGGGTCTCCTTTCTACAGTCAGTTGGGTCCTCCTTTCTTCCCCCAATTCACAGGCTTGCTTCCCAGAGCTATGCTTGGAATACTAAAGGCAGCCTGATATAGCAAAATCAGTTATCTGCAAGGAATCTGGTACAGGTTTAAGGTTCTGTGTCTTTCATGTAGCTGAGACATTTTAAATTTAAAACTATCTTCCTTTTGCATATTTTTGGGTAAATGATAATGTCATTATTTTCCCAGGTAGGCATAAATAAAATGGCCACCACATCTAAAACTGTGATTGGTGGGAGACCCATCACAACAGTATAGTTATGTCAATAGTGTCATTAATAAAAACTATAACACATTATAAAATACTTAACAAAGTGTGATCTTGAAATCCCTTGAAAGGTCTTAGAGAATAAAATAAAGCAATTAAGAATGTGGAGATTCACTTTTGAAATTTTTATTTAATCTGCAGATTCAGATCATTCTTAATTATTGCTTTGATTAACTGTGGCAAGATTTGAGGTAAGAAGCCTGGAAAGGAGGAGGGGGTCCTTGCTGTGGGGTGGGGGAGGAGTCCTGAAATGGGACACTGAGAGCTAGGAGAGGTGGAGAGAGAAGGAGAAAGATGAAGCCCACCCTTCTGATTAGCATACCATTAATTTAATCACAAGATTGTTCTCAATTTTTTAAAATCCAAAGCCAATTTGCAGAAGACCTTACCTTTGAGACTCTTTGCCCCAGCTAAAGCTGCTTGAAAAAAATTCACATGTAAACATTTATTTATTTTACAAGTCACAGTCACAGTTTTTCATACTTGGTTCATACACTTATAATACACTCAGACTATTTTTAATTTTTTTATTTCAATTGCATTTTAATCACAAAGATGACATTACATTCCAACATACAACTCTCTCTTTTTAAGCCAAGACCCTCCTACTGTGCTCTTCGTAAAATTGTAAACGATTGGCTTACCTCGGGCTCTTCGCTAGGAAAACAAAATCATTTCATATTTTTAAACACAGCCACGCCCACCCTCTTGGAACCAACCCCGTGTGGTTTTGGATCTGACTTGCCAACATGGATAAGTGTCTCCCTCCTCCCCCTCCAGCCTCCCACCAGGTGAGAGCCGAGTGTGTGCAGAACACAGAAATTATGTGTGCAGCCCCAAAGCCCCAGATACCTGTGTGTCTGGTTTTTCAACCGTAAAGGCGGGAGGGTTTGGCGAACGAATGAGAAGTGAGGAAACGCTTAGCGCAAAGGGAAAAAGAGAGAAAGACATACAGGAAAAAGGTTATGGAGGCCCGCAGCAGCGGCCCCTCTCCCCCCCACCCCCCTCCCCCGGCCAGCGGCCCAGCACATTACCCAGGATGCCCCGCCACCTTTCCCTGCGCGTTTTCGCGCGGCTCGCAGCAGAGCGCCCGCACAGGTACCACGGAGTGTGCCAACACGGAAAGTTTTTGCCTGCGCCATGGCGCAAATCACAAGACAGCCCGTTCCCAAGTACAAGTACACAATCGGCGGGTAATTTGGGGGTGCCAGGGAAGGGAAATGGGGGACACTTGAGCTTGTCATGCACAAGCGGACACAATATGGACACCAACACACACCAACGACAAGCTGTCTGAGTCCAAGCAGCCGTGCCAGGCGAGGCGGGGGCGAGCCTTCCCCAATGGCCCCAGCCCACCGCGGCCCCAGCCAACCTAGCCAGGGAGCCCCAGGGCCCCTCCCCGGCAGTTCCGGGCTCACCTGAAGCCCCCGCCTGTCCAGCTTACGGCCGCTGGCGCTGGCACTGGCCTCCAGCCGGAAACGACCCTCAGTGTCGCTCGGCACCACTTTTCTCCCTGGAGGGCATATACTTCGGCCACCCGAACCCCTCCAAGGTCCCCTCCCGCTCCCAGGGCAAAGTTAGGGTCCCTCCCTGGAACTTCTAGCAGGCTCTCCCCACCTTTGACAGACCCCTCCTCCCACTGTCGAGCCCCAGACCCACCAGGCAGCCCTGCCACCCCCTCCCCGGGTACCCGGGCGGCCCTGCTGCCCATGGGCAGAGTCCGCCGCATTACCTAGAAGCAGCAGGCGGTGCGTACACATGTAGTCCATCTTTTCGTCCTGGAGTTGCTTGTCGATGAGCTTGCTGCGTTTCTTGTCTGCGCGCTTCTGGGCGCGCATCTCGATGGCTTCTTTGCGCATCTGTCTTCGCTTCTCCGCCAGGGAAACCTTCTTGACCTTGGAAGGGCTCTCGGCTTTGGACTGGGGACTGTCAGATCGGCAGAAGCAGCCTCCGAAAGCTTGCACGAGGAAGTTGCGGAGCAAGTTACGCTGGGGCTTTCTGCTGCGACGATTTCGCCGGAGCCACTGGAAGCAGCCGATGGTCCCATCGTCTGACTCGTCGCTGGAGGAGTCGTCACCGATCGCCCCCTCATCCTCGTACCTGACTCGGCCTCGGCCACGCTCGAGCTTGCCCCGCCAGGCGGTCGTCCGAGTAGGCCGCGGAGTAGGCGGGTCAGCAGCCTGGATCTCCGGGCTGGGGGGTCTGAGGAGACTGAGGTTGCGTCTGGTCCCGGAGGCCGGGGCAGCGGAGGCTGACCGGGGGACAGGGGCTGCCCTAACTGCAGGATCTGCTCGAGAGGCGGATGCTCCACGGGCGCCAGGATTGGCTCGGGCGCCAGGGGCTGCCCCGGCGGTCCGAACGGCTGTGGCGACAGAGGCTGCCCCGGAGACATCAGGCTTGGTTGGATCAACTGAGGCTCCCCGGGAGTCACGATCCGCTGGATCATAAGCGACTGCTCTGGAGTCGGAATCGGTTGGAGTGTCAGAGGTTCCTGGGGTGTTGGGATCGCCTTGGGAAGCCAGGACTCCCGAGGCTTTGGGATCGACTGGTTCGGTGAGGACTCCTGGAACGTTGGGATCGGTTGGCACGGCAGGGGCTGCCCCGGCATCTGGAGTGGTTCCGGCAGCAGAGGCTCCATCCCCTGGAGGGGGGACTTTTCCTTCTTCCGTGGCAGCGGTGGTTGAGCTTCCTTCCATCTCCGCTGCTTCTCCCTCAACTGGGGGTCTCTCTGCTCGCTCTCTCTTATCTGGGGCTCCAGAGACTTCGATGGGCGGGCCATCATCGGCGATTGGGGGGCTGTCCATGTTGACGGGAGCGTCGTCGACCCCAACGGGGGCGCTGCCAATCTCGAGCCGGGGTCCGGAGATCTCCACCGGGGGGCTGTCGCATGCGAAGTTAGGAGGAGGTCTGACAGCCTCTCGGGATGGGCTGCCGATGGCGCTGGGGACCCAGAGGGGAGGCGCGTTTGCGGCGGGAGTGAGGCAGACCGCACTCGGGATCGCGACTGCTGGGAACTGGCCGCTACAGTCGATTTGTGGGATAACTCGGGGGAGCCCGGGGGGTGGGCTGTCATCCCCAAATGCTTCTCCATCAAGCTCAAATGGCATAGCCTCCTCAGTAGGGGGGCTGTAGCCTCCTCTGAAGCCAGTGTTTGCAGGCCTGAGAGCTCCGGGCTCCTCGGGAGGAGCTCCAGGGACCCCTGTCCCCGGACCACCTGGAGCAAGGTCTGGGATCTGCATGAGAGGCTGGCTACAGCCTCCTTGGGTAGACTGCTCAAACTCGAACGGCATAGCTTCTTCTGGTGGTGGGCTGTAGCTTCCCAGGCCTGGTCTCGTAACATTGAAGGCTCTGGTGGGCTCCATGAGCACTGGGTCGAAGGCCTCCAGGCCTGCATGGGCCCCAGTGGGGGATCCAGGCTGCTCCAGGGTAGGCCAGAAACCTCCCAAGCTGGGCTGCTTGACCTCGAAGGGCATGGCTTCCTCAGGAGGTGGGCTGTAGCCTCCACTGGCTCTGGCTTCCTTGAGGGCCGTGCTGAGGCCCTGGAAGTTCGGCCTGGAGACCTCTGGGGGTCCACTGGCCTTGCCATTAATCTGGATGGGGATGGGCTCATTGTGGGGCGATTCGGTCTCCATCTCTTCGGCTGGGCTAAGCCCAGCACTGGGGGCAGCTGCCCCTGGGGCCTCCAAAGGGTCTTGCTCGGGCTGTTCCCCGTCTTCAGGGGGGATATCGTGTTGTCCTGACATATTATTGCCGTCGAGGCAGTTGCGCACGCCCATAACACGGTGGCGGTTTCTTAAAATAAATTTGGGGCTCCGTAAGACGGAGCACCCAACCAAACTAGGGTGAAAAAAATATTTTTAAAAAATATCAAAATAGCAGCTGGAATGTTCTCCAGCCTAATTTCCAACCCTTGTGAGGTTGGGGGTCTCAGGGCCTAGAACTGCAAGTCATGGCAGAAGCAATTCAGTTCTCGCTGGTGAAGTCTTGCCTTCTTCTTGGTCACTTTCTATTCCCTCAGGTTGCTCCTTGGCCAGTCACCCCTTGGCTTGTCTGTGTTCCTTCTTCTCTCTGCTCCCGGGTAGTTTGCCTGCTTGGCTTTAAGGAGCGTGCCGATTCGTTCCGAAAATCGTTAGTAGCGCTCTGTCTCTGCCACCAGAGGACGCAGGTCTTAGTGCCGAGCCGGCTCCAGCTCCAGGAACCAGCTCCGGGAGCCCGGCAGCCCCGGACTTTGGGTAAGGGGGCTGATGAGCGCAGGCCTCGCAGGAACGTTTTGGCTCCTTCCTCTCCTCTCCCTGACTGATTTGGTCTTTCTCCTCGCTTCTCCCCTGGCCAAAGAGAAAGCTCTCCTGCGTTGCGGGACACGTGACGCAAGACGTGGGCATCAAGATGCTGAGTGCAGGAGCTAAAACCCTCCCTCCCCAACTGATTCTCCGGGGGAGGGGGGACTGCGGGAGGATTTTATCACCCCAGAATACCCCTGAACCCCTTAGCTGAAGCCCCCAGCCCCAGACAGCCCCCGATCTTGAGCTGCAAGTGCAGAAAATGAAGCTTTAGATGACTGGGAAGGGGACACAGGCAAGCGTGCGGGAATGCGACAGGTGGTCGTGAGCCCACCGGAGGGGTGAAGAGGGGGCGAGGGGTGAGGGGCTGCCGAGTGTGAGCACACAATTTATTTTTTAAATGCTCCGGGGTACTTTTTGTCATTTCTGTTGCTTTTGTTTGTCGTTTGCGGAGATTGGCTCCGGTAATTATCTTCAATGTCCCCCGTCCCCATTACATTTGGAGGGTCTCAGCAGTGGCCTAGAGTGACGCAGTGTTCTATCCTGTTTATGTGGATGGTGACGCAGGTGAAAAAGAGGGTCTCAGGCACGCACTGCAGAGAATCAAGCAAAACCCCCCAGGCGGTAGGCGGCTGGCTGCGCTAATGGGGGAGGGGGCGCAGGGCTCACAGGAGGACCCTACCCAGCGCAGGCCTCATACTTCCTCATTCTGGGGAAGGGTTAAAGGAGATTTTGGTTAGGAATAATGGTTGATTTAGGGTGGTCTCCAAGACGGGAGAGCCCTGTACGCACTTAATCTCCAGACAAACCGTGCCGCGCCGGCAACAACAGCCGAGGTGCGTTTTTTCCTGTCTTGGGCACCGGCTGCAGGATCTATCAGTCAGCTCCCCTATCCCCTCTCAAGCCCCCCTGCCAGCCCCTCTCCTTTTGGTATGAATATTCTAGGGCAGCCGCTATACTTTTCCTCTGCTACAGTCTGCGGAGGCGGTGCTAAGTGCAGCTAGCAATCCACCGATTGCCAGCCAGGCTGAGCGCCCCTTGCGGTGCTGCGGTGGGCTCAGAGCCCGCGGAGGGTAAACAGCCGCATTGCCAGGTGGGCTCTGCGCGTACACGCGCACTGTTCTGGGCCTGGGGGGTCAGTGGAGGGATTTGAGCACCAGAGGAAAAAATTGCCGCTCCCGGATCACATAAAAACCTGGCACTAGCGCCTCGCAGTTTCGCCACCCGGTGACAGGGGCTCACCAGCTACCTTTAATTGCAGAGAAGCTGGGCAGGGGGCAGGTGGTTGTCTGGTGGAGCTGTGGGGGTCAGAGACGATGGGTGAAAAAGTATGACTCGGGATGGGCTGCGGCATGAAAGACGCACGGTGCAGGTCCCTGTATACGAACTGTAGGCGGATGGACCACAGCATGGTCCGATCTTATTAAGTCTGTCTAATGTATTCCTCTTCCAACCAGGGCACCACAGCTACAGCCACTAAAGACCCCCCAAGTTCCCTACATCCACCTTCCACGTGGCCATCATGCACAGAGGAAAACCGACAAAGTCGAGTCCTGGATAACATTTGAGGCCTTCCAAACGCATGCCACGTCAGTCCTATGGGTCTACACATTTTTCTGACGGTAGTATTGAACTTTAGTTCAAAGTTTGGCCAACTACCCCCATACCCAACGGCTTAACAATTTGATTATCTACCCAATGGGCCAAGTAGGTCCCAACAATCAACTCACGATCCTCCGACCCAGCACTGGGTCAGCTATTGGGCTGGGGTCACGCCAATCAAGGCTGCCTGGCGAATGAGCGGGGGGCGTCGGACCGGAAACCGGATATGGGTGGGAGGTCCAATAGGGGGCGCCGCGTTGGAACGCCCAAAAAGGTTGTGTTGCTGGGATGGTTGGAAGCGGTTGGTGGGCGGGTGTATGGCGGCCAGGCCTAGAAAGCCACGAGGACCAAGAACGTGGTGGGGTCAGTCTTTTTGCTGCCACAAGTCACAGAGGCTGGGTCGGGAGTCGGGGGCTGCTAGAGGCCAGCCACTGGGCTCTTGAATGGCGGTGGGCTAACCTATTTAACAGTGCTGCCGCTGAGGCGAGGCGAAGAGAAGGATTTCCAGGGCCTGGAGGTAGTGGTCCAGACCTGGGATGAGCGCTTACTTTCCCATGCAGAAGAGCAGCCCAGGATGGATTAGGAGTTGAGGCCCCAGGGATGCTGAGCCCTGCACAAGTAGAAGGTCAGTAGATGCTGGAATCGGAACCCCAAGGAGGCTGCAGTAGGGTTCCTAAACGGGAAGGGTTTCTCTCGCCAGACATCACTCCCACTTCCAAAGCACTGTTCATACAAAAATGAGTTCAGGGTCACAAGGTCCACATTCTTGTGGATCCGTGGGACCTCTTTGTTCCATATTCTTTCTTGTATCATAGTCCTCAGCCAGGCAAACACATATATTAAGAGAATAAAGATTGGCTAGATACCAGTCTTCTATCTTAAGGGGCAGAGCAATATAAAAATAAAAGACGACCTCCAATTAGGGGGGCCTGGAAAGTCTTGATAGAGAAAATGGCGTTTCAAATGGCTCTCCATCGAAGGATAAATGCCTTGACTATGAATAGAAGTGTGTGTGTGGTGGGGGCAGGGGGTTGAAGCGGAACACATTTACCTATCAGGAACAAAGGATCCAATGGTAGGATCCAATGGCGGGGTATGGCTGGGTAAACAGAGCAGGCCATCTTTGCTCTTGGAGGAGCAGTGGGGCAGAGGGTAGGAAAAAAAATGAGTGTGAACCCTCTCAGGATCCATGGAACATCAGGTTAATGTTCTTGAGGCCATTTTGGTAAGAAATGCAGAGGATATTGAGCGGTTTTTGTTTGGGTTTTTTTTTTGTCCTGCAAGTGAGAATTTGAGCCAAGTTTTAGTAATAGAAGTAATGTAGAGGATGATCCTGACAAAGAGAAGAAAGAAAGGGGTTATGCACAAAGGAGGCTGTGGCTGCCTATGACCTTTAAAGGAGAGACCCAGACACAGAGGACTCTAATGTCTAATCAATCTCTCTTCAGAAGACTGAAGGAAGGGACTAAAGGGTCCCAGAGGATCCTCTAGCAATACCTGTGCTAGAGGGATACAAAAGGTAGAGGAACTAAAAAAGCCTGTGGCACGTGATTGATGTTGATACTGGGAGTAGGATAGAGAAGTCATGAAGGAGCTAGAGTGGGCAGGGCCAATTTAATTTTAGACATGGCAGAGTTGAAGGAATGAGGGTCAGTCTGATTGAGATTTTTACAACTCATTGGGGAGAAAGGATCTGAAATTTAGAAGGAAAAGCATAAATGCGAACTGACAATAAGATCACTGGATATTTGGTGCTAAAAGAATAATTGGAGCACTGGACAGGAGAAAGGAGGGAAGGCTCTGCAGGGAGAGATGAGAGCACAGTAGTGGAAGGGGCTTCCGAACCTGTGAGCACCCTCAACCTAGATCATGGTTTCCCAGCCTCTGCACAGGTAATATTTGGGTCCAGGTAATTCTTTGCTGTGGTGACTATCCTGTGCATTATAGTACATAAGCAGCATCCCTAGCCTCTACCCACTAGATGCCAGTAGCATCCCCTTAGTTGTAACAACAAAAAATGTCTTCAAACTATGCCAAATATCCTCTGGGGTGCAAAATCACCCTTGGTTGAAAATCAGTGTTATAAGCTGAGAAATAACTCTCAGAGTTGAATAGAAATCACCTTAATTTAAAGGTAAATTTGTACCAGGAAAAGCAAACTTCAGTATTTAGCTCTGATGTTTACCTTTTTTTCCACTCTTGTTTATTTTTTTGTAGTGACTGGCTACCAGAATCTGAAGACCCTAAGTCGCTTGGGTGAATGGGGCAAAGAGCTGAACTACTGCACAACAGCAGCGCAGCTCGAGAGATCCCAGAAGTGTGGCCAGATGTTTAGGAGTTACACAGAAGACAGCTGGGTGACCTGGCCAAAGTGACTTGAGGTAAAGAACTAGGAGTGATAAGCAAGTAGATAGGTTAGGGGTCATCTGTCTAGTGAGCCTGCTGAGAATTGGTGAATTTTCTGGCTCAAGAAGAAACATGGCATTGACCTGGATGGAGAGGGTCAGTGCTAGGTGTTGGTGGGTAGCTTAGTCTGGGGCCTAACCCTACCAGGAGTATTGCTTTTATGGACTGCCATTGTAATTGTATAATATCAAAGGACCTTAAGTAGATTTGCAGTTCCACATGGATCTTCATTGGGGAAGAGGTAAATATTTGGGAATATGAGTAAGGAGGAAGAAGGAAAGTCAGTTAAGGGTTCATGCAGCTAAGGAAGAAGAAGTCGAGATAATTTAGTGCCCATAAAAAGCCAAGTAGGAATGAAGAACAAAATCTGGGTGCCAGGATTTTGATCCTGTCCTGGTAGGGAGCTAGAGGGAAGGGCTGCAATGAGATGATGCGTCAATTAGAGGAAGACAAGAGTTGCTGTAAAACCTAGGTAATAGTTTCTTGAAAATGGTTTGTAATTGGCTACTTAACAGTCATAGGTTTCCTACACTTGATGAATTAGAAAGGAATGAAAAATGCTACCCCACATTTCTGAGGAAAGTCATCCTGTTCAGTCCAGGTGACTTAGGTGCCCAGTAGCAAATCAGTGGCTTTTGTAAATAAGTAGTCCCAAATGGAAAGAATGCTTTCCTCACCATTGACTCTCCTACCAGTGGCATTACGGCACCATTTCTATCTGCAGGGGCATGGTC